CACACTGTTCCAAAGAAAGGCGCTCCAGCTCCCTTCAGGACTTCAGACCAGCTGCTCTCACTTCACTCCTCCAGGGTTTGTGTGTATGGTTCCCACTCCTGGCTCAGTATAGAAGCTTTCTCTGCCAAAACCTGACATAATCTGTCTATAACTGCACATACCTGTATGTTAACCCTGATGCCACTTGATAGCTTCAAATCCCATCAGCATTTTGCTGCAAATCCACTTTATCTGGAGAAAACAACAAAATTCAAAATGGACACAGATTCATTTGCAGTATAACTGCTCACTTCTACCAGTCTGCCTTCTGCATAATTTCTGCACCCTGGACTGGTGTCTGTGCCCAGGATGGGGTGCCAACCCATTTCAGGGCAAACACACCATACAATCTGGTAACTCCAATTCACCTTTGTTAGACTGTGGGGGGAAATATAGAGGAAACCCCAAGGATGATATGGGAGAACATCGGCTGATACATACAGCCATAGAGCCATAGTAGAGACTCGAACCCTGGTCCCAGAGGTGTGGGGCAACAGTGCTGACAACTGCGGTAACATGCCTCCTGCTAATTTATTTATGATATCAAATTGTAGGAATAGAGCTGGTTTGGGCAAAAAACAATGCAAGTAACTGTTACACTCATTAAGGCTAAATAAATGTTTGCTGTGTGTATAATTGTATGATGAACTAATTTATTCTTAAACTCCAGCTCCACTGTTTTCCCAGTCTGCTCTTCTCAGTCTGGCCTCAGTCCAAAACCACACCTACTGCAGCCTGAGAAGCAGAAAGTTCCTCCCAATCTCACACACAGATGACTGAGAAAACAAAACTGAATCCTATCAGTGCTTGTGGTAAAATGGCAGAAGTCAGAGTTGCAGTGGATTCAGATGAGTTCAGCTGTGCAGTCTGTCTAGATCTACTGAAGGACCCAGTGACTATTCCCTGTGGACACAGTTACTGTATGAGCTGCATTAAGAGCTGCTGGGATCAAAAGGATCATCTTGGAGTTTACAGCTGCCCCCAGTGCAGACAGACCTTCACGCACAGACCTGTTCTGAGCAGAAACACCATACTGGCTGAGGTGGTGGAGAAACTGAAGAAAACTGGAATACAAGCAACTACTCCTGCTGACCAGTATTCTGGAGATGTAGAGTGTGATGTCTGTACTGGGACAAAACACAAAGCTGTCAAGTCCTGCCTGGTGTGTCTGGCCTCCTACTGTGAAACTGACCTGCAGCTTCACAATAAACTCCATCACGCAAAACAACACAAGCTCATTGATGCCACCAGTCATCTGAAGGACAAGGTCTGTTCCCACCATGACAAACCCCTGGAGATCTACTGCCGTACCGACCAGAAGTGTATCTGTTATCCCTGTATGATGGATGAACACAGAGGCCATGATACAGTCTCAGCTGCTGCAGGAAGAGTGGAGAAACAGGTCAGACCAGAAACGGTCTTATACAAATTGTGAATTTTTATAAAGTAAAAATGGTTTTTGTTGCATGTGAATAAGTTTGCATTGAAGAGAAACTATGATTAAGCCTGGTTAGTTGCATAAAAGGAAAATGCTCAGAAAATGTCCTATAACTGAATAAAGAGAAAGTTTACACCTTCACTTTTATCAGTAGCTGTATCCTTAGTGGGGCAAACTTGTGTCAAGATGTTAATATACATTGTTAAAAGTTCTGATTGAATTACTATTGGAAACCCCTTCAAAAATGAATTTGAATGGCTAAGATGTGTGAGCTAAGAGGTTTTGAATATGGTGTGATTGTTGGTCCTAAGCATGGTGGTTCCAGCATCTCAGAAACAGCCACCGTCCCGAGATTTCCCACACTACAGAGTGTAGAGTTCACTGAGCAGTGTGCAGTAAACATAAAACACCCAGACTGTGACAGTTCTGTGGGAAAAACCACCTTGTTAATAAGAAAGGTCAGGGGACAATGAGCAGACTTGTTAAAGCTAACAGGAAGGTCACAAGTGCAAAAATAACAGCTCAGTACAGCAGTGGTGTGCAAAATGGCTAGTCTGAACACAGATCTAATCTGCACATTAAGTGATTCTGGAGGCAAAGTGGGTCCTACCCAGTACTAACTGGTTGTTCTTAATAAAGTGGCAGTTAAGCACATATATTATCTACAGAACGTGAACTTCAGGTTTACAGTAAGAACTCTTTTCACTTCCTTCACTGGGAATTATAAGTCAGATGGACTTCTTCAAGTTTATCCTACCTACAGTCAATAAATAATTTAGAATATCCATCCATCCATCCATCCATCCATCTCCTAACCGGTAATCCAGGTCAGGCTCAGGGGGAGTGCCTGGAGCCTTTCCCAGGCAGCATAGGGCCCAAGGCTGGGCTTCACCCTGGGCAGGATGATTAATGAATGTGATCTCAGCTAATGAAACAAACTTGTTTTTTCATCTTTTTTCCTATCTGTAGAAACAAATGGGTGAGTCACAGAGGGATTTTCAGCAGAGAATTCAGATGAGAGAGAAGGAGCTGCAGGAGCTGAGAGAGGCTGTGGGCTCATTCACAGTGAGTATGAACCAGAAGAGAAGATAACAGCTGGTCTGTAGGAACCAATTCAGGCTTGAACTGAGGCTCATCTTTGCAAATCATCTACTAGTCTTGTAGACCCAATTCCTACGAAACTCCTCAAGGTAATTGCACCAATTACAGGGTAGTGCAGAAGGCTACCCTGTTAAACTTGTTAAACTTGTCTCTTAGGTTTGGATATGTTCCAAACCCTTTTAAAATAGCCATTATTAAACCTCTTCTAAAGAAACAAAATCTTGAACCTAGTGATTTAGGAAATTATACAATTATCTCATTTCAAAGATCCTCGAAAAAGCTGTTGTTCATCAGCTGTGTTCTTCCTACAGACAAATGATCTTTGCTGTAAAAAATGCTACAAAATGCTAATGAATTATATCAGTCTGGCTTCAGACCAAACCATAGCACAGAAACAGCTTTAATCATGATAATTTGCTTATGGCTTCTGACCATGGTTGTATATCTTTGTAGGTGTTTCTAGATGTAACTGCAGCATTCGATATTGTAGACATAATATCCTCTTGGACTGGCTAGAATCTGTGTTTAGTATTAAGGGGACAGCTCTCTCTTGGTTTCACTCCTATTTAACTGATTGATGTCAGTTTGTCCATTTGAACAATGAATCTTCCAAGCCCACTAAAGTCAAATATGGTGTCCCACAGGGATCAGTACTGGGCCCGCTCCTGTTCACTGCATACATGCTCCTGGTAACATTATTAGAAATCATGGTGTTGAGTTTCAGTGTTATGTGGATGATACATATCTGTTAAACCAGATGATTCATACTGCTAGTTGGACCCAAGGCTGCTCAAAATAAGTTTGACAGCCTCAATCTCGGTGGTCTTCCTACTCAGTTTAAAACAGTGGTCAGGGAATTTGGTGTCCTGGTAGATTCAGATCTATGTTTCGATGCTCACATAAGAAACATTACAATAACTTTGTTCTACCATCTATAGAACATAGCCAAGCTTTGGAAGATGCTCTCCTTTCATGATAAATAAAAACTAATACAAGTCTTTATACCTGCCTTACTGGACTACTGTAATGCCCTCCTTTGTGGTTGCCCAACCAGATCCTTATATTAACTTCAGCTGGTATAAAAGGCAGCAGCCAGAGTTCTATGCTCCCTTCACTGGCTTCCAGTCTTGGATTGACTACAAAATACTGCTGTTAACTTATAAAGCACTGTATGGCCTTGCACCAGAATACCATTGGGGATCTACTGGTCTCCTACAACCCTCTTGACTTGCTTCAATCTCAAGGCACAGTATATCTATTAGTCCCTAGAGTAGAAAAGAGCTACGGCAGGCTGCAGAGCATTCTCTTATAGAGCTCCACAGCAGTCTTCCATCAGATTTGCAAGACTCAGGCTCACTCTCAATATTTAAATCTAGACTAAAAACACACTTGTTTAGTCTAGCTTATACGGACTCTAGTTCTAGCTCTAGCTTACTGCTCACTCCCAGTCAGACATATAGTGTGAGGTGTAGAGTTGGGTGGGGATCGATGCTATTGGCTTTGGATGAAGTGATCTGTCAGTCTGTCACTCTAGCTTCACACCCCCTTGTGGAATTGCCTGCATTCCCACCCGCCTCTCCCTCTTACTTATGCTGCCATAGCCATATCTGCCAAAGCATACATACTGCACTCACCTAACTGTTAGCAGTGCCTCTAGTCTCCCCTACTTTGGCTAATTGCACATTCTATTTCCCCTATTCTTCCTGGGCTGTGCTGCCTGGAGACCCAAAAATATCAAGATATTCTGCCTACCCTACTGCCTGCGTCCCCGTGGCGTCTGTCCAGCTTCCTCAGCCTTCTGCCTGTGACGTCTCTCCTGTATGCCCTACTGCTGTACACTGTCCAGCCTGCTCAGCCTTCTGCCTGTGACGTCTCTCCTGTACGCCCTACTGCTGTACCACAGTTCGGTCTGAAATCGGAAGCAGCGCATGCACCTGCCATCACCTGCCTGCCCTCCGCTTTGAAACTCAAATCTTAAAATTTGGATAGTGTGAATTGACACTTTTGCCATCTTGCTCATGTGACTTTGACTTCCTCTGCCCCTTTGAGTCTTGTTCCTCCCAAGGTTCCTTCTTTCTTGTCATGGATAGCACTAGGGAACCCTCTTCGTCGTCTCAGCCACGCCCCTCCGGGGATTCCGGTCGATAGGGCTTCCCCGAGGTGTTTGCGTCCTGTCAACCAGTTGTTCTGGCCGTACCGGTTGCTCCCGTTTCAGACACTCTTCTCCCAGTTGTGTCTCGTTTTCCCCAGTTTCAGTGTTACTATATCAGGCAACTCGGCTCTCTGATCAGTGCGAGATCTTCATGGTTTGCCCTGAGTTCGAGCGTTTTTTCCGGTGTGTGTTTCCCTGTGTTCTGACCTCTGCTACGTTTTCTACACAGCAAATGTGCCAGTGTTAAATTAACACTGCATGGTGTCTATATGTGACCACACCATTCAGTGTTACCTTTAACACTTTTCAGTGTGCAGTGAGTGTTGTTTTTACAGTGTTAATAT